TGGTGTCAGTGGGGGGGGGGGGGGGAACAGTGCCCCCTCGTTGGTGTCAGTGGGGGGGGGGGGGGAACAGTGCCCCCTCGTTGGTGTCATTGGGGGGGGGGGGAACAGTGCCCCCTCGTTGGTGTCAGTGGGGGGGGAGGAACAGTGCCCCATCATTGGTGTCAGTGTGTGAGGAATAGTGTCCCATCATTGGTGTCAGTGTGTGAGGAATAGTGTCCCATCATTGGTGTCAGTGGGAGGAATAGTGTCCCATCATTGGTGTCAGTGGGAGGAATAGTGTCCCATCATTAGTGTCAGTGTGTGAGGAATAGTGTCCCATCATTGGTGTCAGTGTGAGGAATAGTGTCCCATCATTGGTGTCAGTGGGAGGAATAGTGTCCCATCATTGGTGTCAGTGGGAGGGGGGGGGGAACAGTGCCCCATCACTGGTGTCAGTGGGGGGGGAACAGTGCCCCCTCGTTGGTGTCAGTGGGGGGGAGGAACAGTGCCCCATCGTTGGTGTCAGTGGGGGGGAGGAACAGTGCCCCATCGTAGTTGGTGTCAGTGGGGGGGAGGAACAGTGCCCCATCGTTGGTGTCAGTGGGGGGAGGAACAGTGCCCCATCGTTGGTGTCAGTGGGGGGGAGGAACAGTGCCCCATCGTTGGTGTCAGTGGGGGGGAGGAACAGTGCCCCATCGTTGGTGTCAGTGGGGGGGGAGGAACAGTGCCCCATCGTTGGTGTCAGTGGGGGGGAGGAACAGTGCCCCATCGTTGGTGTCAGTGGGGGGGAGGAACAGTGCCCCATCGTTGGTGTCAGTGGGGGGGAGGAACAGTGCCCCATCGTTGGTGTCAGTGGGGGGGAGGAACAGTGCCCCATCGTTGGTGTCAGTGGGGGGGAGGAACAGTGCCCCATCGTTGGTGTCAGTGGGGGGGGGGAAACAGTGCCCCATCGTTGGTGTCAGTGGGGGGGAGGAACAGTGCCCCATCGTTGGTGTCAGTGGGGGGGAGGAGGAACAGTGCCCCATCGTTGGTGTCAGTGGGGGGGGGGAGGAACAGTGCCCCATCGTTGGTGTCAGTGGGGGGGAGGAACAGTGCCCCATCGTTGGTGTCAGTGGGGGGGAGGAACAGTGCCCCATCGTTGGTGTCAGTGGGGGGGGGAACAGTGCCCCATCGTTGGTGTCAGTGGGGGGGGGAGGAACAGTGCCCCATCGTTGGTGTCAGTGGGGGGGAGGAACAGTGCCCCATCGTTGGTGTCAGTGGGGGGGGGGAACAGTGCCCCATCGTTGGTGTCAGTGGGGGGGAGGAACAGTGCCCCATCGTTGGTGTCAGTGGGGGGGGGGGGAGGAACAGTGCCCCATCGTTGGTGTCAGTGGGGGGGGGGGGAACAGTGCCCCATCGTTGGTGTCAGTGGGGGGGAGGAACAGTGCCCCATCGTTGGTGTCAGTGGGGGGGGGAGGAACAGTGCCCCATCGTTGGTGTCAGTGGGGGGGAGGAACAGTGCCCCATCGTTGGTGTCAGTGGGGGGGAGGAACAGTGCCCCATCGTTGGTGTCAGTGGGGGGGAGGAACAGTGCCCCATCGTTGGTGTCAGTGGGGGGGGAGGAACAGTGCCCCATCGTTGGTGTCAGTGGGGGGGGAGGAACAGTGCCCCATCGTTGGTGTCAGTGGGGGGGAGGAACAGTGCCCCATCGTTGGTGTCAGTGGGGGGGAGGAACAGTGCCCCATCGTTGGTGTCAGTGGGGGGGGAGGAACAGTGCCCCATCGTTGGTGTCAGTGGGGGGGGGTGAGGAACAGTGCCCCATCGTTGGTGTCAGTGGGGGGGAGGAACAGTGCCCCATCGTTGGTGTCAGTGGGGGGGAGGAACAGTGCCCCATCGTTGGTGTCAGTGGGGGGGAGGGAACAGTGCCCCATCGTTGGTGTCAGTGGGGGGGGTAGGAACAGTGCCCCATCGTTGGTGTCAGTGGGGGGGGAGGAACAGTGCCCCATCGTTGGTGTCAGTGGGGGGGGAGGAACAGTGCCCCATCGTTGGTGTCAGTGGGGGGGGAGGAACAGTGCCCCATCGTTGGTGTCAGTGGGGGGGGGGGGGAGGAACAGTGCCCCATCGTTGGTGTCAGTGGGGGGGAGGAAACAGTGCCCCATCGTTGGTGTCAGTGGGGGGGAGGAACAGTGCCCCATCGTTGGTGTCAGTGGGGGGGGGGAGGAACAGTGCCCCATCGTTGGTGTCAGTGGGGGGGAGGAACAGTGCCCCATCGTTGGTGTCAGTGGGGGGGAGGAACAGTGCCCCATCGTTGGTGTCAGTGGGGGGGAGGAACAGTGCCCCATCGTTGGTGTCAGTGGGGGGGAGGAACAGTGCCCCATCGTTGGTGTCAGTGGGGGGAGGAAACAGTGCCCCATCGTTGGTGTCAGTGGGGGGGAGGAACAGTGCCCCATCGTTGGTGTCAGTGGGGGGGGGAACAGTGCCCCATCGTTGGTGTCAGTGGGGGGAGGAACAGTGCCCCATCGTTGGTGTCAGTGGGGGGGAGGAACAGTGCCCCATCGTTGGTGTCAGTGGGGGGGGGGGAGGAACAGTGCCCGAACCATCGTTGGTGTCAGTGGGGGGGGGGAGGAACAGTGCCCCATCGTTGGTGTCAGTGGGGGGGGGGAGGAACAGTGCCCCATCGTTGGTGTCAGTGGGGGGGAGGAACAGTGCCCCATCGTTGGTGTCAGTGGGGGGGAGGAACAGTGCCCCATCGTTGGTGTCAGTGGGGGGGAGGAACAGTGCCCCATCGTTGGTGTCAGTGGGGGGGAGGAACAGTGCCCCATCGTTGGTGTCAGTGGGGGGGAGGAACAGTGCCCCATCGTTGGTGTCAGTGGGGGGGAGGAACAGTGCCCCATCGTTGGTGTCAGTGGGGGGGAGGAACAGTGCCCCATCGTTGGTGTCAGTGGGGGGGGGAGGAACAGTGCCCCATCGTTGGTGTCAGTGGGGGGGAGGAACAGTGCCCCATCGTTGGTGTCAGTGGGGGGAGGAACAGTGCCCCATCGTTGGTGTCAGTGGGGGGGAGGAACAGTGCCCCATCGTTGGTGTCAGTGGGGGGGAGGAACAGTGCCCCATCGTTGGTGTCAGTGGGGGGGAGGAACAGTGCCCCATCGTTGGTGTCAGTGGGGGGGAGGAACAGTGCCCCATCGTTGGTGTCAGTGGGGGGGGAGGAACAGTGCCCCATCGTTGGTGTCAGTGGGGGGGAGGAAACAGTGCCCCATCGTTGGTGTCAGTGGGGGGGAGGAACAGTGCCCCATCGTTGGTGTCAGTGGGGGGGAGGAACAGTGCCCCATCGTTGGTGTCAGTGGGGGGGAGGAACAGTGCCCCATCGTTGGTGTCAGTGGGGGGGGGAGGAACAGTGCCCCATCGTTGGTGTCAGTGGGGGGGGAGGAACAGTGCCCCATCGTTGGTGTCAGTGGGGGGGAGGAACAGTGCCCCATCGTTGGTGTCAGTGGGGGGGGAGGAACAGTGCCCCATCGTTGGTGTCAGTGGGGGGGGGAGGAACAGTGCCCCATCGTTGGTGTCAGTGGGGGGGGAGGAACAGTGCCCCATCGTTGGTGTCAGTGGGGGGGGAGGAACAGTGCCCCATCGTTGGTGTCAGTGGGGGGGAGGAACAGTGCCCCATCGTTGGTGTCAGTGGGGGAGGAACAGTGCCCCATCCTTGGTGTCAGTGGGGGAGGAACAGTGCCCCATCCTTGGTGTCAGTGGGGGGGAGGAACAGTGCCCCATCCTTGGTGTCAGTGGGGGAGAGGAATAGTGCCAAGAGTGTCACAGCATGGTGCTGCTGCACACTTACTGGCCGCTCCCTCACTCGATTTTCGCGGGGCTAATCGGCTCCGCCTCCTCGCCGGTGATTAATCGCCTGTGTGCCTTTCCAGTGCTGGCGCCCAATCATCGGTGAGGAGGCGGAGCCGAGCGGAGGGTTATCCGCGCGACCATCGAGCGGCCGAACTGAAAGAAGGAGCAGCCGCGCTTCCTGGACCGGATCGTCGTGGGACTGGGACCGGAGCCAGGTAAGGTACAGCAGCCCCCTGCTTGCCCCTGTACTTAGTGTCCCTTCCGCCACCGCGCCGCCCCTCGCCCCTCGAAAGTGCTGCCCTGACACCAGCTCGCCGTTTTACCAGCGTATAAGATGACCCCTGACTTTTAAGAAGATTTTCATAGGTTAAAAAGTCGTCTTATACGCCGGCAAATACGGTAAGTATTTCAGGAGAGCGAAGTTGGATAGAGGGAGTAGACTCCTTCAGCAGAGCAAAGTATTTCAGGAGAGGAAAGTTGGATACAGGAAGGAGCAGAATTCTCCTGTAGACTAGAGTATGTCAGGAGAGGAGAGTTAGATAGATCAAGGAGCAGAGTCCTCCCCCAGTGCAGAGTATTTCAGGAGAGGAGAGTTGGATAGAGGAAGGAGTAGAGTCATCCAGCAGAGCAGAGTATTTCAGGAGAGGAGAGTTGGATAGAGGAAGGAGCAGAGTCCTCCCCCAGTGCAGAGTATTTCAGGAGAGGAGAGTTGGATAGAGGAAGGAGTAGAGTCATCCAGCAGAGCAGAGTATTTCAGGAGAGGAGAGTTGGATAGAGGAAGGAGCAGAGTCCTCCCCAGTGCAGAGTATTTCAGGAGAGGAGAGTTGGATAGAGGAAGGAGCGGAGTCATCCAGCAGTGCAGAGTATTTCAGGAGAGGAGAGGTGGACAGAGGAGGAGCAGAGTCCTCCTGCAGAGCGGAGTATTTCAGAAGAGAAGAGTTGGATAGAGGAAGGAGAAGAGTCCTCCAGCAGTGCAGAGTATTTCTGGAGAGGAGGGTTAGATAGAGGAAGGAGCCGAGTCCTCCAGTAGAGCGGAGTATTTCAGGAGAGGAGAGTTGGATAGAAGAAGAGTCCTCCAGCTGTGCAGCGTATTTCAGGAGAGAAGAGTTGGATAGGGGGAGGAGTAGAGTTCTCCAGCAGTGCAGAGTATTCAAGAGAGGAGAGTTTGATATAAGGAGGTGAGCAGAGTCCTTCATACCAACACGTACCTAAGCTGATGCTGCACTCCCCTCCACGCTCCACATACATGTGATATGTGAAGAAACATGACAATGGTTTCAATATTAGGCTTAATATGGCCATTCCACCGCTAAATCGGAACAAGTCCCTGGTGACCTCCTTCTCGGTTGCTTGTTCGAAGGCAGCGAAGTACAGGGCGAGGAGTAGAATGTCCAATACCACTGTAGTGATCAGACCAACCAGAAACTGCAAATAAAAGGTCAGCCAATCAGCAATGCTCATGTAAATCCCCTTAAAGGGTCAGACCTTCCAATACTTGAAAATACTTCACTTTTATCACTGACTGCCTTCCAGAACCTCTCGAGATCTTAGGTGAGAAGACCTACATTTGATTTTCCAGCATCGCCCACCAACCACTAACATTATATAGGGTCCAGGTTTATTTGGTAAGCTTTTTATATTCATCTTACCATACAATGTGATGAAGGTAACCCCCCCCCCCCCCCCCCCGCCAATATCAGTTTTGGGTGTTTAACCTTATCATAAAGATCCATTTGTAAAAAAAAGTCTAATAAGAGTGCCAGACCAAAGATCTAAAACTGGCCATACACTAGGAGTTTTTCAAATGAACATTCGTACGAAAATTCTCATCATTACATTTGATGACTTGACTAATGCAGCTCAAAAACACTTTGAAAACATTTATTTTTAACATTCGATTTTGAAGCAAATTGAATTTGGTGAAAAAAAAAAAAAAAAAAAAAAAAAAAAAAAAACCAAAAAAAAAAACAAACACATTTATGGTTACTGACTTCACTAATGAAAAATCAAACGAGCGCTCTTAAAACAAAGAGCATTCTGTGAAAGAGAACGATCACAGTTGCTTGTGCTCTCAAACAAACTGTCAAGCTCGTGTCATAACTGAATCTATGGGCAGTCCATGGCAACTGCAGATCAAGCAGAGGCTAAGATGGCAGCTTCCTTGGACTGGAGTGCTTAGTTCCATTTTAGCCATTGGCTCCCACTGCTATCAATCACAGCCAGTGAGCCAATGAGAAGAGTGAGGGCGGGGTCGAGCCACGGCTGTATGTGTGAATGGACTCAAGGAAAAGTGGGTACCTGCTGTGGGGGGACTCGACAGGAGGGAGGGGAGAGGAGAGCCTGCGGGAGATCCAACAAGAGGAGGATCCAGGCTGCTCTGTGCAAAATCACTGCACACAGCAGGTAAATATAGACATGTTTGTTTTTTTAATATTTTATTTATTTCAGGTACTTATATAGTGCTGTCAATTTATGCGTACTATCTAAGGTCCCTAACTCACATTTACACATACACATACTAGGGCCAATTTGGACAGTAATCAATTCACCAACCAGCATGTTTCTGGAGTGTGGGAGGAAACCGGAGTACCCGGAGGAAACCCACGCAAGCACAGGGAGAACATGCAAACTCCATGCAGGAGGTGCCATAGTCGGGAATCGAACCCATGACCCATTTACTGCAAGGCAGACATGCTAACCATTATGCCACTGTGCCGCCCAGCATAAACCTTTAGTATCACTTTAATATACAAGTCAACTTGAACAGTCAACATGTTTCAGTAGAAAGTGGCTGTATGCAACTATATATGGCTACTTGCGTGAAGTGGCATATGTGCACAGCAGGGCCATTCGGGCACTGCCCAAGGGCCCAGGGTCAGTAGGGGGCCCCATGAGATGCCCCTGGTACCTTTCTTAGGCTTTTTTGGGTGTAGTTTGAGTGTGGGCGAGGACACAGGGGCCCCCATGAGCCCCTATTGCCCGAGTTGTCAGTCCGCCCCTGGTGCACAGATGTTCCGAATGCACCTACCTGCACTCGAAACATTACATCTGTGTGCGTCTGCCACTTTATCTGCTTCCCGTCCAGCGACATGCCAGTATGTCGTTGGATTGGAAGGGTGACATCTTGGTCGTCGATGCAGGTATGATTGAGGTCTAACTTTTGTTTTTTTAAGGCCAGCGATTCTCTTTAACCACTTCAAGTCCGGACACTTTCACCCCCTTCCTATCCAGGCCATTTTTCAGCTTTCACACTTTGAATGACAATTGCACGGTCATGCAACACTGTACCCATATGAATTTTTTAGCATTTTTTTGAGACGGATTAAAACTTTATTTTTGTTTTATTTATTCACCGCTGGGATTTTTATTTTTTTTTTGCTATATAAATGAAAAAGTCCACACATTTTGAAAAAAACGTGTTTTTCTTATAAAATTTTGCAAATAAATAATCTTTCTTCATAAATCTTGGCCAAAATGTATTCAGCTATCTTTTTAGTAAAAAAAAAAAAAAAAACCCCAAATTAGTTTCTAAAAAATTAATTCATATTTTTTTCAATTTTTTTTTATTTTATTATTTATGTTTTTTTTTAACATACTGTCACCCTAGCTGTACAGTGTCACCATAGTGACACTGTACCACTTGTGGGGGGTGATGAAGATTTTTTTTCTACACGGCTTGCTTTTACACCCATAAAGGCTGTAAAAGCAATCATTTCTCCTTCTCTCTGGCTGCATTCTTGCAGCCATTGAGAAATACTACGATAGCTGTGATTGGTCTCAGCTTGTACCATGTGATCTCTGTGATCATTCACAGATCTCACAAGTAGTAAGCAATGATGTTAGAAGTAACATCTTGCTTACTACTATTCATATGATCACTGATTGGCCAATCAGTGATCACATGATCGGGACCACGCACATAGGTCCCGTGCAGCAATCGGTGTTCCGCTGTGTCCTCCGGACACAGCAGGCACCGGATCGCGGTACTGCGCGCTCCGAGGGAGCTCGCACAGGCTGATAATGCGGGTGCTGTTTATGAACGGAAACCCGCTCCTGCACTGTTCCCATCCAGCCATTTATATACATGGGCCGGACAGGAAATGGTTAATGTAAAAGTAATTCTAGTGGCCAAGAAGCTGTTGGATTTCTTTTACAGGCAGCGGGAGGGGGTGGGACCAGTAGCATCCGGTTCCTGGGACACAGTGAGAGGAACTAATGTTCCTCCCACTGTGCAATGATATTTCCAGTGGAGCGCAGGGGGATTATATATTTTTTTATTTTTATTTCCTCACTTTCGGGTTTTCGGTCTCGTGTAAACAAACCGGCTTGAACAGAGCATGTGATCAAAATTATCTTGGTTTTCTCACATGCACTGGAGGCCAGAGGAGAGATATGGGGTCTAATAGACCCCAGATCTTTCCGTAAAGAGGACCTGTCATGGCTTAAGTTGTTCATCCCTTCTGATAGCAATAAAAGAGATTTAAAAAAAAAATGTAAAGACACAGTGTAAAAACAAAAATAAAAGTAAACAGCGATCGAACCACACATGTGAGGTATCGCCGCAAACGTCAGAGCAAGGGAAATCATTTTAGCACCAGACCTCCTCAGTAACTCTAAACCTGTAAAAACTTTCAAAGCATTGCCTATGGAGATTTCTTGGTACTGTAGTTTGGCGCCATTCCATGAGCGGATGGAATTTTAAAGTCTGACATGTTTGTTATCTACTCGACGTAACATCATCTTTAATATTGCATCAAACAACGAGGTATTATATTGTGTTTTTTTTGTGCATTAAAATGTATTTTTGTCCAAAACAAAATTTGCACCTGAAAAAAAAAAAAAATGCTGTGCAAAGATCATGTGACAAAAAAACACGTAAAACCCACCATTGTATTCCACAGCGCCTCTGCTTAAAAACATATATAATGTTTAGGGTTCCAAGTAGTTTTCTAGCAAAAAAATTATGTTTTTTTACATGTAGGAAAGAAACGTCAGAATTGGCCCGGACTGGAAGTGGTTATACAAGTAGCGGTGCATACCTGTGTACAGCCGTCTACACCCATTCATATCAATGGGCAGCTCTGCATGAAACCAACATGTGGTTATCTTCATTTCAGTTTTTTGTTTGAGTCTAATAACATTTCCATTATTGGCATGAACCAAGTTGCCCATTTTTTTTTTAATTTATATGGATATTTTATTCATTTTTTTTCACATTTAAATAGATAAAAAAAAAAACTTCCATTTATATATAGCTAAAGACAAAACTTTTTTTTAGTTTTATATAAAAAGTGGCAAGGGCTTAGAACCCCCTGTCAGTTTTTTATTGCTGTCTGTGTCCCCATTAGGAAGATTCACTCTGTTTGTTGCATTTACCGTTTTCACCGAGAGTGAAAGTGAAAGGAAATTGCAAATTTTGGGTTGTCCTCAGAACAGTAATAGAGAGGACACTAGTTCTGGTACCACCCAGGAATCCCCTCACTTTGGAGGGATTTCCTCTTACTTCCTGTTTTGGCTATGGGATGGGAAATTAAGAGAAATCTCCCCAATGGGACACAGATGGCAAAAAAAAAAAAACAAAAAAAAAAAAACAAAACTGGCAGGAGTTATCACCCCCCCCCCCCCCCTTACTCTATCCTAAAGGAAAAAAAAAAAAAAAAGTCTTGCCTTTAGTTCTACTTTAACTCGCAGTCGATCTGCTCCCCATGGTCAGGAATGACATACACCCTGCTCTTAAAGTGGTTGTAAAGGCTCCAGGTTTTGTAACGTCATGCAATCTATGCATGAAGGTAAAAAAACTTCTGTGTCCAGCAGTCCCCCTACGGAACCAGCTATGTGCACAAGAGCCTTGGCTCTCAGAGGACTCTCCCTCCTCATTGGTTGAGACAGCAGCGGGAGGCATTGGCCCCCAATGCTGTCAATCACAGCCAGTGAGCCAATGAGGAGAGAGAGGGGGCGGGGCCGAGCCATGGCTTTGTGTGTGAGTGGACACGCAAAGCAGTGGCTCGGGAGTGAGCCTGCTTGGGTTCCCCCACAGCAAGCTGCTTGCTTTGCTTTGAGGACACTTGGACGGAGGAAGGGGCCAGGAGCTGCGTTGGGGGACCAGAGAAAGAGCATAGGAGGATCGGGGCTACGCTGTGTAAAACCATTACATAGAGCAGGTACGTTTTTTTTTTTTTTTTTTTTAAAAGCTTGCCTTTAATATCACTTTAATTCCTCCTACGATATTCAAGGAGGCATTAGCTTTCATACAGCCGCAAGAGGAAATCAGGCTCCTGAAGATGTCAGAAGGGTGGGACTCAACTTACGGCACATTGTGGAAGGACAAGGCTGGATTCACTAGGCAAGTTAGTATTTTAATTGAGGACAACCCCGCATAAAAAGGTAACATGGAGGAAAAAGGGGGTTTGGGGGTGAAGTTCCACTTGAAGTGGGAGTGTCTGAACCCCCGAAACACACTGGCGGTGCCATGCCGTCTTATTACGAGCAAAGAAGGATTTTAACAGATTCTGGACTCTCAGGGGTTGATTTAGTAAAACTGGAGAGTGCAAAATCTGGTGCAGCTCTGCATAGAAACCAATCAGCTTCCAGGTTTTATTGCCAAAGCTTCATTGAACAAGCTGAAGTTAGAAGCCAATTGGCTGCCATGCACAGCTGCACCAGATTTTGCACTCTCCAGTTTTAGTAAATCTCCCCCACAGACTCTTAGGTCTGACACTCTCATTAGCCTTTTTACCTGTGGATCTTAAACTTCGGGTCCCCTGGATAAGGGGCCACCCCCACCTTACTGGAGCTTCTTCAGCCCATATGAACTTAACGGCCTTTCTTCAACCATGAACTACTGAACAGCTGAATCCAGCATCCTTACCATAAAAATGGCGTCCACAGAGTCCCGCTGGACAATTGCCCAGATGCCCACAGCCAAGACGGTCAGATTAGACAAGTAATAGGCATTTGGCAGCCATTTGAAGGTGCAGGCGCTGCAAGACACAAAAATGCGTTGTCAATGGAATGATGTTTCATGTTCTAGAATAGTAAGCCATTCCCCCCTCCACCACCAAAGGTTGCTAGTGCGCTGACGGGCACTGGTTGCTAGGATGCTGGCGGCCTGGTCAAAGGGGAATATTGGTTGCTAAAACGCAGGAGGCCATTTGCATCACAACAAACAATGACACTGAAGCCCAGGTGCAGAACATGCACTGAGGACGGGGTGTCCGGTATGGAGACTCTACCTTTAGTGCTGCCCAACACCATGACTCCATAGGTGTCACCCAAAGCAGCAGCCCCAATGGGCCTCATGGCCAACAAGACCCTGCCTACAGCCTGCATATCAATAGAGTCTTTCTAGGAACGCCCGCTCCTGCAGACTCACATCCACCTATCAAGGCAAGAAGATGTTTGCCCAACTACTCCCCTACGCCAGCCCACCGCTTGCATCGGGACCAAAGGCCCTTTCTTGAGAAGAGTACTGAGGCAGGGTGCTGTGATGTTTTCAGGAAGTTAAGTACAGCATCCTGCAGCCACTTCCACCAGCCATGATCTGCCTGCATTGCATAGAGAGACAGAGACCCAGTGATGACATCAACATGTGACCAAGGCCAAAACAGTTACAAAGGTCACTCTCTTCCCATGAGAAGGAAATACATGCTCCTATTGAGATCCTTCATGTGACCTAAAGCCTGGGCAAACATCAGGGTATCAGAAACTGCAGAGTCTCTGTTGTGTACAATCAGACTGATGCTGTCTGATAGACTTGTATTGAAAAAAAAAAAAAAGGTTCAGCAATGCAGAGGCAGCAGATCAAATAAGTGAACAGATTTGTCCCTATGTACACATCTCATTACATACTACCTATGGAACTGAGATTCTGTACATATAGTATACCAGCCCCTCCCCAAACACATCCCCCGCCCACCACTGAACGAATGTGACCGCATTTCATCAACAGTATAGCTAAGCTTTACATAAATGAAGACCGGACTAAAGTATACTTACAACATTGTCAGCAACCAATGAACATAGATGATTGCCTGAGGGAAGAGGAAATACAAGTTTATTGTCTGCAAACTGAATTTAAAGCTCAACCCCGAGCACAAAACCTCATTGAAATATATTCCTCTATAGTCACAAAAGATGAAAATCCGCTCTGTGTGCAGCAAATGCTTTTGCAAACCCAGATATTACCTTGTAAAACTAAAAGGGACATCTTCCCTGTGCTGTACATGTGTGCAGGGAGCAAACCTGTGAGAGGGGTCAAGCAGGCTCCACCCACTACAGGCTGCCTGCAGAAAAATTCAGGAGGGGGCGGAGACAAGACCAGTCACCCTGCACAAGAAGGGAGAGCAGCAGTGAGCAGTCTTTATTACAGGAAGCTCCGGCACAGAGGTAAAGTGTCACACTGGATTACTGCACAGATCTAGAAGAAATACACGGGATTCAAGGAAGAATACATGTGGCAGTATTTGCTTGTCCTGGAGTCCTGCTTTAAGCCACTCCTGTTCAAGCTTCCGCCCACAGTTTCAGTTAGTAGTAGTCGTCTCTGCATTCTATGGTATCCTAAAATGATAATTCTATAATATCCTAAGAAAATATTAAAGTTTAACCTCCCTATCGGTCTGATTATGTCAGTATTTCTGTGCTCAAAGCGGTACATCTTTTTGCATGGAAATATGTTTTTTTTATTGTAGGCTGTAATTTTTAGGAATAACTCACTGAAATCTGTCCGAATAAGAGTCTAGTAAACATCCCGGGTATGATACAATTTGAAACACGAAATCATAAATTATAAATTTAATAAAGAATCATAAAAAATCATAATATAATATTATATATATATATATATATATATATATATATATATATATATATAAATAAACCAAAAACACTGAAATTTGAAATATAGCGCCAAGTTCGGACATCACTGAGCAAAGTCGCAGAATCGGTTTTCAGTGTCTGATGATGAATTTCCCCCACAATCATTATCACTCAATTCTGCAAGTGGTTCTGATTTACTATCACTGTTCTCTAGTTGGTCTAAACCCACTTTTGACCTAAAGGGACGCTTTTTGGACGCCATGGACGTTTCTCAGTTTCAAGGCAGAAAGAACAGTAAAAATGCAGGCAGGGCGCAGGACAAAGCACTCGGGACAAAATGTATGTGAAATGGTTTGATACAGTAATGTTTTACTATGTGATTTTAGTGAATTTAGTGAATGTCACTTTTTACATTTTCAAATTTCCCGTCAGTTCTGTCCCCTGTACGTCCCGACGTCACAGGGGACGGAACCCAGATGACAGATGCCGGCATTGGCCAGAGGACATTGCCGGAAACACTGCATGGGGGACATCGTGAGAGCGCAGGACAAGGTAGGTGCAGAAGAGATCCCGGAGCAACGCTGCAGTGTATTCCTGAGTGTAGCTCGGGGTTACCACTTGTGGTGCTGAAACTTTACCCCGAGCCAGAGGCGGACTGACAACTCATGGGGCCCCTGGACAATAGGGGATCATGGGGCCCCTGTGTCCTTGCCCAAACTCAAAAAAGCCTATGAAAAAGGTACCAGGGGCATCTCATGGGGCCCCCTACTGACCCCAAGCCCTCGGGCAGTGCCCGAGTTTCCAAATGGTCAGTCCTCCCCTGCCCCAAGCTACACTCGGGAATACCTCCAGGGAGCTTAAACAATGAACTTCAGTTTCTTCTACTGGAATACAAAAAAAAGTTACATCTCGGGATATAACGGCATGGGAGCGGGAATCCATTTAGCCTATAGCCTAGGCTTAGGCTTAGAAGAAGAGGGCTAAATGGCTTTGGCAGTCATCCAAACCCGAGTACTTGTGACATTTAGTGGCAGAGAGGTTTTGCTCTGGGGAGTTGCTCAGAATTAAAGATTTTTTTTTTATCCACCTGGAGTCCTGCTTGGAAGCCTAAGTCCACCCAAAATTGTATCATCATTCTGGATAAAATGGTTTAGTGGTCTAGGTTCCCGCTCCAGCAGAGACTCAGAGGCTCAGCTCCCCTTCTCAGCAATAATGCAGAAGCTCATGTCCCTTGCTCCCCCTCCCAGCACTGACTCAGTGGCTCAGCTCCCCTTCAGAAGCTCAACACTGAATAGCTCCCCTTCTCAGCAAGAATGCAGAAGCTCATGTCCCTTGCTCCCCCTCCCAGCAGTGACCCAAAGAGCTTAGCTCCCCCCCCCATGCACCTTCCTACAAGCAGACTCCGGAGCTCAGCTCACCCTGCTTACAGCCCCAGCAGTGGCTTAGCAGCTCAGCTAGACCATCCAGCAGTGAGTCAGTAGATCAGCTCTCTCTCTGCTCCCCTCCCAGCAGTGACTCAGCTGCTCAGCTCCTCCCTTTAGGCAGTAACTTAGCAGCTCTGGTCAACCTGATCCTTTCCAATCCCAGCAGTGATCCAACAGCTTAGTGTCCTGCAGGTAAGCAGCAGGGTTTAGCCTGGATTCACACATATGCTTGCAGAAATAGCAATGCAATTTAGGAATGCGTTTCTTTGTAAATACCATTCCATTTGTTGTGCGATTTCACTCAGATGTGATTTTGCTGTCTCTCCCTCTTCAAAACTGCCTCCCACTGAAGTCAATGTAAAAATCGCCTCCCACTGACATTGACGCAAAAATCACCTCCCGCCGACACAGAATCGCCTGCCGCCGCCGCCGCCAAAGCAGAATCGCCTCCCGCCGACGTCAAAATACCCTCCCGCCGACGTCAACGCAAAATACCCTCCCGCCGCCGACGTCAACGCAAAATACCCTCCCATTGACGTCAACGCAAAGTCGCCTCCCATTGACGTCAAAGTCGCCTCCCATTGACGTAAAAGTCGCCTCCCATTGACGTCAACGCAAAGTCGCCTCCCATTGACGTCAACGCAAAGCCGCCCCCCATTGACGTCAACGCAAAGTCGCCTCCCTCCGACGTCAATGCAGAAACATCTGTCAATCGCAAGGAGAAAAGAAGTATGTAAAAATCTAGAAAAAAAAACCCAGCTGGATTCACATGTGAACACAGGATTGCGATTTTAATCCGGCCCCACTGAAGTCTATGGTGATGAAATTTGCACCCTACTAAACTCGCACAAGACCCTGTTTTTAACTGGAACAGAAGCTCACCGCATAGACGTGAACCGAAAACAATGTATTTTCAGATGCCATGCGAGGCTACACCTTTCGGATCGGATCTGATCTGTATCAGATTTGCATCAGTGTAAACCAGGACTAACTCCATTCACAACTGGGCATTTCAGGATTGCAGCAGAAGCTGCGATTCTGCCTGCGATCTGAAAACGCACAAGCACAAAACGCAGGTTAAAGTGCCATTATTTTCAATGGCACCTAAAACACAGTGTGGTTTTGCTGCAATTGTCGTATGACGCATTGTGCAATTGCAGAAAATCGCATCATCTGAAGGTTTTCACCCAAAAAGGAGAAGAAGCTTCACGCGATGCGATTGCCACGCAACAATCGCAGCAAAACCGCACTGTATTTTAGGTGCTGTTTAAAATAATGGCACCTAACCCCACGTTTTGCTTTTTTTTTTAGCGCGTTTTGAGATTGTGGGCAGAATCACAGCGAATCTGCCGCATTCCCAACACACCCAGATGTGAATGAAGCCTCACAGAGCAGACACCGGAGCTTGATTTGGCTGTTCAGCAAGTGCTTGTACTGACCACCCAAGTGCTTCTGTGTGTGAGGGTAATGAGGGTAACCTGAAGGAATAATATTTTTTTTTTTCTCATTGATGCCGGCACCACATTTACTCGCTCAGCAGATGCGATTCTGCCGAGCGCTAGGAGTGCTCTACACTCCCCTTTCCTGACAAGCAACCAATCGGTGCTCATCACACTGCCAGGTCTCTCCCCTCGCTGTTATGCAGGCCGTAGACAGGTCAAAAACCGTCCGTTTAAAAAAACAAAACAAAAATCAGTCGTTCAATGGGCCGACGTTACCACCAACAGTAAAATAAATTAATTTTAAAAAAACAAAAATCGCCCGATTTTCCCAATTTTGGTCCCACCTACAGCCGGCATTTAATTACGTCTGTCCCTGCAGAGAGCTCCGCTATTATATTTGACATGAAAAAGTCTTGCGGTTGCAACAATGTATCTATTTGTATCCATTTCGGATACAGATGTTTTTATTCGGATACAAATAGATACATTGCTGCAACCGCAAGACTTATTCATGTCAACTATAATAGCGGATTGGAATTCTTTTTTTTTTCTTCTTCTTCTTGCAGGTCACGGCTCATGCGTAGATTTTTTTTATCGGTAAAAACGATCGGCAGATTTGCCCATCATTACTGGCAAAATCGGCTGATTTTTTTTCCAACTTTACTGATAAAAATATGTGCCAAAACCCCGAAAAACGGCCGACCAAATTAACCCACTAACAGTGTGAAAATCGGCCATTTTTTTATCGGCCGATTTTCGACCCGTCTACGGCCTGCATTAGTCCCTGGGGGTGGTGCTGGAGACAGGCAGGGAGGGAGGGAGGAGGAGATAAAAAGCGCAATGTAAAAGCCTTATTTAAATAAAGTTTTGGTTAAAATATATATATTTTTTTTTATGAGGGCAAGTAGATTGGGACCCCGACTTTAAGCTGGCCATACACGTGTAGACGAGAATATTAGTAGGAAAAGTCGTACGAAAATACTTTGAACATTTGATGAATGAACAAATGTCATTCGAAAATTGTCTTTTGTTTTTAACATTTGACGTTAAAATGAATGTAATTTCTGAATGATAACTACATACACCGGCTGAAAATTTGTTTGATCAAGAAAAGTTTTCCTTACTGCCCCTTTGAATTTTACGGTCACTGCTGTCAAAAGTGAACATCAATTTGACCCCACTAATCATTAGAAAATCATACGAAAATTATTGACTGAAAATCTATATGTGTATTGCCAGCTTAAATCTACATTTTTACAAAGTGACCATAAAAGTCCAGGACAGCTAGTCAGCCAGCTCCAGGCCCACTCCCATAAACAC